GACCATTGCTGCACCCTTTGGGGCAGTAGCTGTACAAATGGTGCTGTCCACAGTATTTCACACAGGATGTTTGCTGTTGCCAGTGTTCTCAACAGCAGATGGGATGGGGTGGGATGGTGACTCCTGACATGAACAGCTGAACCACACCTGCTGCTGCTAACACTCTCCTCCTCTCCTCGCCTCTATTTGTATCCTAAATATGCCTGCTTGTTTCTTTCTTCCTCCTTTTTAGGGTCAAGATGGTCCTCCTGGTGACAAGGGCGACGATGGTGAACCTGGGCAGACTGTGAGTAACTGGATAGCTGAGATCTGTTCTCCACAATCCCCGCGGTTTCTGTGTCCAAGTCCAAGGACTTCAGTGCAGCATCTAATTCTCAGCAGCTTCTGCTGCACTGGTTCCCTGATGCCTGTCCCTCCTGTCTGTGTCAGCCTGGTTGCTGTCATCCATCCCCAGCAATACATCCTGAAAGCAAAAAGTAACTTATGGAAGAATAAAATCTAGTATTTCATTTTAACTTTACCATGCCTTATGGTATTGTATGGTGGGAAGGGATAAAACAAGTTACCACCTGCACCCCCGAGGAGGTGTCAGGAGTTGTACTGGCCACCCACACCTCAGCTTAGCACAAACTCTAGATCTCAACTCAAATTGTACACGTTTGCTCCTCCTTCCTGTATCTCGTGATGCAGTTATGGCTTGTTCTCCTCCCGTCTCCGTCTAGGGTTCCCCTGGTCCCACGGGAGAGCCAGGCCCTTCCGGACCCCCAGGAAAAAGGGTAAGAAAATACATATATTCCAAATGTATTTGTATGGACTTTTTGAAACTTAGGCCATTACTAGATCTACAGTAAATGGAGGGTGGAAGTGTGTAAACTAAATAATAGTACTAATGAAATTTACGCGCAATCTATAGCCATTGGAAATTGATAGGAAGTTGTCAACTGAATCCCATGCATTTTTTTTGAGATTTTAACACCCAAGAGAGAATACAATATGAGGTGCTCTTGCTCTTTCTGCTTTGCTGGCAGAGCCCAGGGATTAATTTAGCAAGAAGCTAATTTAAAAAGCTTTTCAGAGATATTTGTCTCTATTTTGTCATCTTCCCTGGGGCTGTAGCATCATTTTGCTAATTCCAATAGACCATTTCAGATCAGTGTGATCTAATTGTGTTTTGCATCTATTTTGTGCTTTCTCTAGGGCCCTCCTGGTCCAGCTGGTCCCGAAGGAAGGCAAGGAGAGAAAGGAGCCAAGGTAAGAGCTGATGGTAGAGGATTTCCTATGTTAGCTCATCTCCCAGGACCAAACCCAGGAAAGCTTCCTGCTCTGGAGAGCTCGCAGCCAAAGGGCTGTTCCTGCTGGACATTGGGAGAAATAGTCCAGGCTGAAAAGGGAAGGAGTTTGGAGACTTGTCCTCAGCGTGTAAGGAGTAGGGAGCAGTAGGAAAATCAACAAACAAAGTTTTATGTGCTTTGCATGGACCTGCGTTCTTGCCGAGATGTCCTGGCAGCAGCCACAGCGTATTTGAGAAGGCTGGTTGATGCCCTAATGCAAATTAAACTGTGCTGCCTCTTGCATCTAGGGTGAAGCTGGTTTGGAAGGACCTCCTGGGAAGACTGGCCCAATTGGTCCCCAAGGTGCTCCAGGGAAGCCCGGCCCCGATGGCCTTCGAGGGATTCCTGGTCCAGTTGTGAGTATTCCCAAAATGAGCAAAGTTTGAGAAAGCTTCTGGGCAGCATTGTTCCTGGCACTTCAGTGTAACCTGTCTGCCTTGGAAGGTGCCTTTCTCCCAGCAGAATGTTCTGTCTTTGCTTAAATGCCCGACAGCAGATAAAACATGTTCAGTGGAAATAATAAAACTGAATATCATCTCCCAGCATGTTTTGCTGGAGTCTTAGGTCTGCTCACCCATTCTCCATGAGTGAGAGTTTCTATGACCTCCAAAGTCCCCTTTCCAGTAGAGATTTGAGCATGAAAGGAACGTAAATCCTTTTGCCTTCACCTTCTGTGAAAAGCCAGGACAAATGTTCCCTGACACAGGGACCAGATGAGGATAAGTGAATAATCAGAATATTCCCAGCCAAGAGTGCTGCTGTCATGAATGATTGTTTTGAGGGAATTGCACTGTTTTACAGGGTGAACAAGGTCTCCCTGGATCTCCTGGCCCAGATGGTCCTCCAGGCCCAATGGTATGTCCAGATCATCAAATTTAATGAGATTTTGAAATGGGTGAATGCATTTTACATTAATTCATTCTCTCTTTTGTTTTCTCCTCTGTCTTCCAAAGGGCCCACCGGGTTTGCCTGGTCTTAAAGGAGACTCTGGTCCTAAAGGGGAGAAGGTGAGAACAGCAACGCATGATCTTACTGCATGATCTGATGATCATGTGTGGGTGCGTGGGGGGGAAAATCTCATTGTAGAGAGGTCCTGCAGCTGGCAGGGGAAGGCTGATGAGTGCCACCAGCCCCATGTGCTCTCTCATGCTCTGGAAGCACTGGACATATCTTTAAAGGAGAGATGGAGAGTTATGAGTGTGGCCCAAGGGATGAACCAGGTTATGCTGTGGGTGAGTGCATGCTGCTGCCCATCTGGATCTGGGATTTCCCATCCCTGTATCACCAGCACTGATGGCAACAAGGTGACATGGAGGCTCTGAACCTCTGTGTTCCCCTATGATGGCCCTTGCAGTCCATGGCAGATCTAGTTGTCAGGGCTGCCTGAGCAGAGCTTTAGCAGAGGGCATAGGGAGGTGCAGGATTCTCAGTCTTGTACAAATTTATATATTTATATATATTTTATATGTTTTTATATAATATATGTTAGCAACCAAAATGAGCAGATGCTCCAGCGCAGCAGTTCTGCTTCTATATTTGTGGTATTTTCTGTTGCAAAAAGCTAGTGCTTTGCTCTGCTCTGCTATTTCCAGGTGTCAGGGGTAGCAACAGACTCTTGTCACCCTAGATATTTGGGTTTGTATCTAGAAATGTCTTTGCTGAATAGCTTTGGCATTTGGTTACCTCCGGCGAGAGATCATAGTTAACATCTGCTGTTTTCCCATAGGGTCATCCAGGTTTAATTGGTCTTATTGGACCACCAGGAGAGCAGGGAGAAAAGGGTGACAGAGGTCTACCAGGCCCCCAGGGCTCAGCAGGACCCAAAGGAGAGCAGGTAAATATTCCATAAGACCTTCACGGAATGTACTTTGGAGCTGTGGGGTTTGATAACCTTGAACAGATATGGCATAGCAGAGATAGCCAAACTTGGCAGGAGACTCTTGCTAATTTTTGAGGAATATTTTCTAAGTTAATGTGGTTTGTTCTAAATGTAAAATGTAGAGATGCTCCAAAATGACCCATTTTGGTGGAAAGCAGATTCTCAAGGGTCATATGAAAAGACTTGAACAGAATTGGAGGGATGGTAACATTAAATATGCATTTAGAAGGCTGATTTTTAAAACTATGTGTGTAAATGAGATATAAAACTCCCTGGTCATGCTCTTGTCTGGATCATGCACATTCTTAAAAAACAATTAGAGCTCCAGATTTGAATGGAGTCCTCCAAAACCGAGTGGTCATCTGTGAGTAGATGTTAATTGTGTAGTTTTAGACCAGCATTGCTGCATGCAAATCAATGTTGTTCTGCTTTTATTTTTCAGGGTATCACAGGTCCTTCTGGACCAATCGGACCTCCAGGGCCACCAGGATTACCGGTGTGTGACAGATAATTATCTTTTAAGTCATTGGGAGCTATGCAGTCCTTCTGAAGTCACCTTGGTGCTCCTAGATATACTCAACACTTCCTGGCCTGATCCTGTGTGAGGATGCTGATGGCAATGGGTTTGCCCAGCTGGGAGCATTAAAAACACTGGAATGAATTACAGGAGTATTGGGGGGTGACACGTGAGCTGAGATGGGTGCAGGGACCACAATGTGATCAAGGCAGTGGAATTAGCCCACCCTGTTCCTCTCCTCCTTTCTTTTGGATTATCTACAATCACACAGTGATTTTTTTCTTTTTTTCTTTTTTTCTGTTTGTGATGTATTTTTTCCCTGGATGACCAGAGGCTGCAGCCTGTGCCCTTGGGCAACCAGCATTTACCTATGGCTGGGTGTCCTGAGCACACAAGGCCAGGATCAACCCTGGGTTACGGGGATCACACAGCAGTTTTTCCAGTCCCTATCTGAGGAGGAGTGTGGAACACTGACACAGATTGGTCTGACACAAATGCTTTTTGTACATTGGCAAATAAAAGCATCACTGAGCTCAAAGTGGATGTGAAAAGTGGAAACAGAAAGGAAGTGAATTTTAAAAACCACCTTGTATAACACTACTGTGCCTCTCTCTAAGGAGAGACTGACTTCTTCCCTGCTAGGAAATGTACTGACTCCTTTCTATATTTTTTTCTATGCAGGGTCCACCTGGTCCCAAAGGTGCTAAAGGATCATCAGTGAGTATAGACATTGTTAATTGAAGAGGCTGAGGAGCTCTTATTAAATGCATAACCTGCTGTGACTCCTCCACATCAGTGGCATTAGGGCAATTAGCCAACGATGACTGTAGCGAATGCGGCCTTTTCAGGCTGTCAAAGCCCAGACGTTCTAATGGGGAGAAGTTTCTGTTGCACACACTGTACTTCATTGACCATCAGTGCAGCAAAGATCATAAGGAGGAATCCAGTGCATAGGCCTTAGGAGAAAACCTACGGCTGTAAAGCAGAGGGTATTAAAAATAGACTGTGAAGCGGGAGGTGGCAAGCTGAAAAGCAAAGAACTCGGTGAGAAATGCAACGCTGAAGCAAGCTTCATGTTACAGATCTCCTATGCAGGCATTTAAAAATTCCTCTTGGGCTACTTCCTCAAGTCTATTTCCCATGCAGAATTCAATGTTTTATTCATTTTAAGATTTGATTTTTATTCATAAAACTGTTGAATTCGTTTGGAGAATTACCATTTTCATGCATTGGAAGATCCTTCATTTTCCAAAGGAAACCTGAGCAAAAAATTTAATGTTTAACCCCATGTTAATGTTTGGTCTTTTTCTCTTACCTAACCATCAAAAATGATCAAATTAAACATTTTCTTGGAGGGGTGCAAGAAGACTCCTCTTGTATGCCTGAAGAGGCAGGAAGAAAGTTTTTACCACAAGAGCCTCTTAGAAGAACTAATATTTGGGATGTGATAAAAGTGACAAGTGCATTTTCCTGAGCGACTCACGTTTTTCCCTTGTTTTTCTACCCAGGGTCCAACAGGTCCAAAGGGTGAATCAGGTCTTCCTGGGCCCCCAGGGCCTCCTGTAAGTAGAACCCATTACATGGAATATGAAATATGGGTCAGATTTAATGGGTCTTGTAATGTTAGGAAGTAGAAGATTTCTGGACAAAGATTCAGCATGTCAGGTACCCTAATGATGGATTGGCCTCTCTTAGAGATGCTGGGGAAGAAAGCGGGAGGTGAAGGGAGAAGTTACTAATGGGAAGATGACAAGAAAAGATGGACCCAATGTTCAAGCCTGGGGGGCCAGGGTTTTTATCAGCACCATCATGGGTGTTTTATGTGTCTAGTGTGTATTGTGTAATGCTGTTTCTCAGTGCTGGTGGCTGCTTTGGCAATCTCTTCTGTCTGTTCCTCACTGCCAATGCAATGAGAAGTTGTATCTTTCCCCACAAATCAGGGTCCTCCTGGAGAAGTCATCCAGCCACTGCCCATCCAGTCTTCCAAGAGGACCAGGCGAAACATTGATGCCAGCCAGCTGGTGGACGATGGAAATGCTGACAACTACATGGACTATGCAGATGGCATGGAGGAAATTTTTGGGTCGCTGAATTCCTTGAAACTGGAAATTGAGCAAATGAAGCATCCATTGGGCACTCAACATAACCCAGCGCGTACCTGCAAGGATCTGCAGCTCTGTCATCCCGACTTCCCAGATGGTGCGTCCTGGGATGGAGGGGGGTGTGAGGGAAAAACTGGGTTTCCCAGCTTCACATAGTGCATACAAGCGAGTACAGGAAGAGAAGCAGTTTGGGGAGTCCCTGGCCCTGGTGTGCCCCATGAGGAATATGGCTGACAAAGAAGGAATACATAGAGTTGAACTAGATGATGGTTGTAGGTCCCTTCCAACTGAAATATTGTGTTATGTTCTAAAAATGGGGATATATGAGGCAAAATAACTATTCCTGTAAGGTACCACAGTATTATCTGGAATGAGGACAGAACCAGTTTTCCAAAAAATACATATAAATAGTAGCCTGTGACAGAGAAAGAACATCCCTGGGTAGATGGTTACTGAAGTGCCCATTGTCCTCCCTTCACAGTGTTGATTCTTTCTTCCCTCTCGTGCATCCAGGTGAATACTGGGTTGATCCTAACCAAGGATGTTCCAGGGATTCTTTCAAAGTTTACTGTAATTTCACAGCTGGTGGAGAGACTTGCATCTTCCCTGATAAGAAATCTGAAGGAGTAAGTCCACACAACTTTTTTTTTTTTTTTCCTTTATATCATGGTGATAAGAGATTGTTTCCTAATATGAATATTCATAGACAGTCAGTTTCAGGAGAATTGAATAATAGCAAGTAAGGATTAAAGATCCAGAATATTTCTTTGTTACACAACGTTGGCTTCAAAATAATAATGAATAGATAATTTCTTTGAGTAAGTCAGATTTAAACTGTGATTTGGGACAAGTCTTTGATTTCTGAGGCATAAAGATGCTAAAACCTTTTTTTTAATTATTATTTTTTTTTATTTGCTTTACAAGGGCAGAAGGGTGTGTTGGTGCAGAAACTGTGACTCCCCATGAGTTTCATTTAACTCATTCCTTGTCTTCCCTCCTGCAGCTGGGCTGCTGCTCTGCTGTCTGTGTGCATAAGCACCTCTGATTTCTCTACTTACTGTGTCTTCAGGCAGAGCAGAGAAATATTTATGTCCTGTAATTTTTTCCTTGTGTTTCTTGTCAGTATTTAGTTTCCTAAATGATGGCAACTAGCCTTAGCACTCTTCCTGGCACTGATGCACAAGGTTCATTAAGTTATTTGTGTAATGATGTGCTTAGCTCAACCATACTCCTCATTTTTGCCCCATATCCATGCACTCTGTTTTCTGGAGCTGTTCTCCCTGATGCCTTGGGACCATTACCTGTGCTGGCTGTGCAGAAACTCTTGCAAAGTGACCTGTGGGAGCTGGGTCAAGGCATAGGCAAAGCTGTTCACTCCAGTGGAAGCCATTTGCTTGCTGAATTTCATCCACCAGAAATATGTACCAGCACAGGATAAATAATGTGCAACATAAATCTGCCTCGAGTTTTTGTTAAGACTGTTTAAATAGGAGATGGATTTCTTCTCCTTTGCATTAACTTGCCGTGGCTCTCCTCAAAATGTTGACAGCTAAAAAAGCAGAGTCTCCCCATGATCTTATGGTTGCTCAGACTCCTGCCATGCTCATTCTATGAGTGGCTTTTTGGCCCCATCTTGTCCACCATGGAGCTCTTCTTCTGATCGCTGCAATGCTCCTCAAATGCAAATTGTGCTACACATTTCCAGTACTGTCGTAAATAAGGAAAAGCGTCGGCCTGCTCTTTTTCTATGTAGAGGAATAAAAACAGCTACCACACCAGCATTAAGTACTGGCTAAGTGGTTTTATTATAAGCCACAGCAGAGTTTAAGCCATATCCCCTTAACCCAGCAGAAGCACACTGACTTGCTTTATGGTTCACGTACTGGAAAGGAAAGGACAATCCCAAGACACCTGCATATATCTTGGCTGTTTTTGGAGAGATTTACAGCAGAAGTGAGGGAGCTGGTGGGAGGGTAAGAGAGCAGACGGCAACCACGCTTCTTCCTTGTGCTCTGACTCAAAGTGATTCAGCTGCTTAGACAAGATTGCCATAAAGGATGCTCCAACAGCTTGTTTCTTGTCAAGGTTATCCCCTGCATCACTCCAGGTAGTTGGAAGCTCCATCATGCCTGATGGTCCAGCACTGACTGTGGAGGACGCACTGCTCATGCTGCACCTTAGCACTGCACAAATGCAGGAGGCAGGCAGAGGCTTTTCCTTTGTCACAATATTTTCCTTTCCCAGCCCCACAGCATCTGGATTTAGTGCTGGAGTGACAGCAGCCTTCTCCGTTATCAGCATCGTTTTTCCACCCCAGCCCTCCCATGAAGATCAGAGCATCTTTTACCATTGATATTTCTTTTTTTCCCTCTTTATCTTTCCTTTTATGTCTCCTGCCGACAGACTGCACTGCTGGGTTTGCATCCAAAGTATCTAGGAGGCAGAGATCATTAGCCCTTAGCAAAGGAAGCTAGTGCCAAAGCAGCGCTAGGCACCCGAGGCAGCACCGTGCCATCCCGTTCTGCTTGAGAGCCTGCTGGCACCTTAGGGCTCTACTGACTGGTCTTGTTACTGATGTATAAAGATTAAGAAAACATTTTAAAGGAAGTTGGACAGTTACAGTAAGACATGCAGACTCTGCTTGTGGAACTGAATGTAACTTTTTTTATTTCTTTTTTTTTTTTTTCTTTCTCTCTTTCCTCCTTGCCGCCCATAAACTAGGCTAGAATTACTTCTTGGCCAAAGGAAAACCCAGGCTCCTGGTTCAGTGAATTCAAGCGCGGTAAACTGGTAAGATGCATCTTGGTGCCTTCAGTTTTCTTTAACCCGTGTCATATTTTACAGAGTAAAATGGCTCGTTGGCCCAAAGAACAGCCTTCCACATGGTATAGTCAATACAAGCGGGGGTCTTTGGTAAGTGGCTAACCTTGGCCCTCTAGTCTGAATCAGAGCGCGTCATCTGCTTTGGTATGGCCAGACCTGTTGCACTCTGCATGCTGGACTAATAACCATCACGAGTCACAGTAAAAACATTTAAGGTGGAATACTGAAAAAGAAACAAAACCCAATGGACACTTTTTTTTCAGTCTGCTTGACTGGAAACCTAGGAGCAGGTGATGAGCTTTCCCCAGTGTTAGAGGGGGACACAATGTGCTGGGGGACTTTGCAGAGCTGGAGTTGTTGCAGGTCTGTCTCTACAGAGCACTGCAATGGGCTGCATTCTGCAACGAAAGGGCTCTTGCTGTCTCCTAAGCCATTCCCATTATGGCAAGGGCAAACTGGATGTCCCCATGCTGCTGTCCCACAGCAGCATAACCTTATCCCAAGAGCTGAGATACGCCCAACATGATGCTTCAGCCCAGAGCTGGTCACGGTGCTGTAGTGGCCCATGCTTGCTGGTACCCAGGCTGAGGTGGTGAATCTGCACATCTTTGGTCTGGGGCAGGTTTTCCCCAAAGGAATTATTTCATCTCCCACACTGGAGATGAGCCACATCAGGGCCTCCCATGCCATCCCCAGAGCTTGGGAGATGGGAAATCATTGATTTAAAGGAAGATTTCAAGCCACACGTGTTCGCCAAGTTTGGTGGACAGGAATTTGACTTAGTCACAACTAAGGATTTTTTCAAGGGAGAATTGTCCTAAGGTCAAATGATGCTTGATGTCAGCAAGCAAGGAAGACAACACCACGTAAGACAGAGAAGCTCTAGTATTTTGTCCTCCAAGAGGACATTCATATTGTGGATAGATTGCTCCCATTGCATCCGAGCCCTGCGCAGGGCTGTCAGAGTGTAAGGCAGGTCTCCTTAAGCAACAGAAATCTCCCACGTGCATATCAATTCTTGTAGGATTAGCACGATGCAGATAATGAACTCAGTCAAATCAGGAGAATTAGGGAAGAAGGAAATATTCAGCAGATAAAACCAACCTGTCCCTGAAAGCTGGAGATGCTCTGACGAACGGTGCTGAGCTGCCTCACGTGGTTGTCCCCTCCCCAGGGCAGAGGTTTCTTGCAATGCCCCAAACTTCCACCTTAAAAGGCAAACAAAGAAAATCACCGCGTTGTTTTCCTAAAGTGCATTTCATTGCCACTAAACACATTTTGCTCTGATTCTGCCCGCCAGAAGGATATGGCTTCTGTAGCTTTTCTGCATCATTGAATACGGCCGCAAAGCCAAGGCTTCAGCCTCGTAGCTCCTTGGAGGGCAACTACTCATACCTTAGTTACAGAGTACTTCATCAGTTAATATTACAAGTACCTCCATTTCTCCACCTTCTTCGCTTTTTCTTTTTTTCCAATCTGTTTGTCAGCTACATTATTGGCTGAATTGCCAAGCTAGCGCTTAGGGCCCCCCCCCCCTTTTTTTTTTTAAATAGGAATTTCAACGATACCTGGTGCCCTTTGTTCCATCTTTCTGCCATTTTTTTGCTTTTTTACCTGCCCTGCATTTTCTGTTTGGGGAAAAAAGCCACCAGCACGTAGAAGACCTGCTTAGGCAAATCCCAAAATTGTTAAACACACAAGTCATAAGAGTAAAGTTTGATATCTTTTAGTAGTACCTCCCACTTCACCCCAGTCACTGTTTAGAACTATGAGACTGGTAAATTGGGGAGACACTTGCCTAGATCCAAGATAATTTGAAATCTGTGTGTAGATGGGTGGGATGAATGAGGTTTGAGTTTCCTTCTGGGTGTAGCGTTGCTCCTGTTACTCCAAGGAGAAGGTCCTTGATGCCTTTCCACACACCCCGAGCATGGTGTCTTGCGGGGCTGAGCCTGTAGGGATCCCCAAGGCCAAGGGAAAGATTTCCATGTGGCTGCTCAGTGCTGTCAATATGGGGAGCTCTGTATAAATCTCAGGGCTTGCACAAGGTGTGCAGCTGTGAAGGTGCTTGACTTTCTTCTAGGGATATCTAAAGTAAAAAACATAGTAAATATGAAATACAGAGAAACCATCTCATTTTGATGCTTCCACACCATAATTAATCAATGACATAGAGTATTGGAGCTGATTTCTTACCATTTCTAATGATGCAGCCAAACTGTATTTAGAGGGATAAAAGGGTTGCAGATGTTTTCTCCTGAACTCTGTTTTCCTTCTGTGTGTGCTACACAGAATTCTCAGTAGCTCTAATGGGGCCTGTCACCCGTCCTGTCCTGTTATCCTTCATAGCCATATGGCATCTGCCCCAGGGAAATACTGTCACAGAGAAAACAGGAAAGTACTGATTTTTTGCAAAACTGTGTTCCCACAAGCAAGCTTCATGCACAGAACCAGTTCCCAGTGGCTCTAGTTGCAAAGCTGGGTCAGGTCTTCATGCAATCTGCAGAGGCAGAACAGTAACCAAGGCCCCTTAACAAGCAGTCAGGCTCCTAAGTCAAGCACTGATTTGAAATAAAAAAAAATAAATTAGAGAAGCAGGTCCTGCAGATCAGTAATGACACTTGTCGTTGTGTTTGTGCCAAGTAGTCGGCATTTTGTGTCCCCTTCCTTCCACGTCCTGGTGGTTTTCTGGTAGCTCTCTTCCTGGCATGCGTGGCTCTCTCATGGTCAGTCATATTTAACTCTCAGGAGGACACTGCAACGGTATCCTGACAACCGGTTGGTATATTTATTTATTTATATTATCTTGTTACTCATGATTATATTATCTGGTTATGAATCTCTTGTATTGTTTGCAGCTTGCACCAGTATTTCATGGTACCTTGAAGTACACCACGCTCTTTGTGTGCCTGTATTTTTCTCCTGGTCATTTCTGAAGAATCACACTGTCCATAGAGGACAGTAAGGAACAGCAGCTCTGGTAGCTTGGCTATGGCTGGAGATACCACCTGAAGTACAGTTAGTTTATATGTGCAAATTAGCTGTCCCATTGTGTGTTTGCTTCATTGGTGGGGTACGAGAGAGAGTCCCAGAAAGTCTTGAATCCCCTAAATGTTGGCGGGTGTTTAAATAAACTGGGTTTTGCAGACACCGTTCTCCTACAAGGGAGAAAAGGAGCCTGATATGCAGAATGGAGCACATCCCTGTGCCAGTGCAGCTCTGTTCCATGACATGCCCTAAGGGCAGCAAATGCATTTTCCTTTTAGCTGAGTGTAGCCTTGCTGACAGGGCAGCTCAGAGTCCTTAGCAGCAGAAACAGGATTACTGTGGATTAAGTGTAAAGTTGGCTTAAAAGCCAAGGCGGTGGTGCCCAAGAAAAATGAATGGGAAATACCCCAGCGTGTGTTGAACCAAATACCCACAGTGGTCAGAAAATCAGATAGGAAAAAAAAAAGCCCCAAGTGCATACATAAATCTCCTGTCTCCCCCCTCCCCGGAGAAGTATGCTTGATAGTGGCTTAAACTCAAAATGTATATCCCCAAATTTGCTCAGCACTTCACCTTTTTGCAACCAGGGCTGAAATCCCCCTGCCTTTCTCCTCTTGCCCTGCATTAGCCTTATTGGTTTTTTTACTCAAAACGAGCAAGATAAATAAACTGCCCTTGGTAGCTGTGCCCCGGCAGGAGGACCCGTAGTGTGGCAGGAGCAGTGTCTGCACCCCAGTGTGGTGGTGAGACCAAGTCCCATGTGCAGGGTAATAAAAATGGGTGAGACTGGTGGTCCTCAGAGCCCCCCAGACGTGTTGCATTGCCCCTCACTGCCCAGTGTTTCCCCTTCTCCGCTTCTCATAGCTCTCCTACGTGGATTCAGACGGGAACCCCATCGGAGTGGTGCAGATGACTTTCCTTCGGCTCCTGAGTGCCTCAGCCCACCAGAACATCACATACAACTGCTACCAGTCTGTAGCCTGGCATGACGCCACCACTGACAGCTATGACAAGGCCATCCGCTTCCTGGGCTCCAATGATGAGGAGATGTCCTATGACAACAACCCCTACATCCGAGCTGCCCTCGACGGCTGTGCGGTATGTGGGCAGAGCAGGTCTTGGCCAGTCCCTGCAGGAGGGGTCAGTGCTGGAGGTGTCCGTCCCCCTCCTCTGGTTGTCCAGTTCTATTTGCCTTTGAGTAAATCACTTCCAAATTTCCTGTGCCTGCCGATGTTGTTGCCTGGAAGATTGTCCCCAGCATGGGAGACATTGAGCTTGCTCTTCCCTATGCTGGGAACATGATTCCACTCAAGGTCAGGGAAATCTGCAGCACCTCTAGAAACTAGATAAATTTGCTTTATTTCTGGATGTGCATCTTTATGCAAGGATATGAAAGGACTTGCCTAAAATCACCATTTGCTTTTAAATGTCCCCCTTTGCTTTTACTCTGACCCCATTTGCTCATATGGGGAGAGGCCAGCAATGATACTCAGTTGCAGATCAGTTTTGCAGGCTTTGATAACAATTTTTTAAAGTGCTTTCAAGAAATCTTGGAGGCAAAGCATTAAGGGTTTGGCATTGGGTTGGTTGGGGTTTTTCTGCAGCACGCTGCTGCATGTAGCCCCAGGTGGACTCCGCATCACTCCATGGCTGCAGCACCCAGCTCCATCCCGGTGTCCCTTGAGCTACTGGAGGAGCCCCAGCGTGGAGCTGTGGTTTGCTCTGTGCTTGCAAGTCCTAGCTCCTGACAGGACACACCTGTGCCTGTAGGAAAGGACACACCAAAGCAAGGCCTGACTCTTTAGCAAGAGGGGATGTTGCGTGGGATTCGGGAGACAAAGGTTCACATCTCTGCTCACATTTCAAATGTGACTTTTAGTGTCTTTCTCTCTAGATTTGTCCCCTGTGACTTTTTTGCCCAGAGTGCAAAAGTGGGTGTTAGGCTTCAGCTTTCCTCTGCCCTCGCAGCCACATTGCTCTTCACCTTTGCTGTGGCCATGAGCATCAGCCAGAGTTTCCAAAGGGCCTCAGCATCCTCCATTTGCTTCTACGTCCTTCTGTTGGGTGCCTGATTTGGGACTGAGCTCTGAAAAATCTGCCCTCATGAGCTAAAAATTTGGCAAAGCAGTTGCTGCTTGCATTTATTTTGAGACCCAGCTTGCTGGTGCAAGAGCGTGCGTAATTCTCACCCTCTGCAACTGCAGCGCTTGAAACCCACGGGACAGAAAGATTGAGATGTTTGACAGAAAAAGCCCTCCGCATAATTTAAGATGAAAGTGGTTCTGTTGTGACATGCATGCATCTTTAACTGTAGGAGCAATGAGGAAAATCAGATTAGAATCACTTCTTTTAACGCTCTCGCAGAGAGGGAAAGGACATAGAGAGGAGGAGGTTGGTCTGTTCAACCAAGGAACAAGGGACAGGACAAGAGGAAATGGCCTCAAGTTGTGCCCAGGGCAGTTGAGATGGGATGTGAGGAAGAATTTCTTTGCTGAAAGGGTTCTGAGGCATTGGAAGGGGTTGCCCAGGGCAGTGGTGGAGTCCCCATCCCTGGTGGGATTGAAGAGTCGTGTAGACAAAGTGCTGAGGGACATGGGTTAGTTGGGGACTTGTCAGTGTTGGGTTCATGGTTGGGCTGGATCATCTTAAAGGGTTTTCCAGTACAGGCAATTCTGAGATGGTGACATCCATCCCACTTCTGGAAACACTCAGAAGCCACATGGGAAAGTTTGTCCTCAAGTACTTTGTATCTTGTGTTAATGCAATGTGTCCTTGGTGAAAAGCACCTTCTCCTCCCTGTCCCTTTTTAAGTCTCAAGGATGCTGCAAGATCACACATTGCACATTTTAAGGCAGCTGTGCCTGCTGAAAAGCCTTTTGATTTATGTGCTTTGGCTCACGTGCCCTCTGTTCCTCTCCCTAACCAGGGATATTTGCATGGAAAGAGGACTGTAAGCTCCTTTGAGCTTATTTGCTTGGTTGCTTCTCACAGATGGCTGTTACCCAGTCTTGGTGCTGCAAATAAATGACTGTGGCAAGAACTAAAGCAGTGGGAGCAACAGGCACCCATGGTGCTGGAATACTGGGAGAGACTGGTTGAACCCTGACATGATGGTGGGGCATAGGACCATCATCTGATCAGAGCTTTGGGCATCACTTCCAAACCAGTGTGCCCCAGTCCTTTCTCTCTGCTAGAGATGTTCTTGCAAGCTATAAAAAGGTAAAATATGCCAAGATAATATGGCATATCCGTAATATGGAATATATAGGAATCTTAGCCTTGCAGAAAGAGGCTCTGGATCTCCTGTACTGTTTCTGGTACCCTGGTAGGTCATCCTCCCTGAACCACAGGCAGGACATTTAACATCTTGAGCACTACTATTTGAAAAATGAGATGGGGCTGCCCAACATGGCATTGCCACAGAGGTCCTGGCAGGACCCACGCTCTGGCCAGGCTTGAGGCTGCTGCAGCCAGTGCCAGCGTATCACCAGGGCTAATGTTTGGGCCATTATTTGGATGTGTTTTTCCTGATCTTACAGCTCGTTCTCAGTAGCTGTGATATAGCCTATTCTTCTGAGACACACAAATCAGAGGGAAAGGTAGAGCCAAAAGCTGCTTCATAAATTCACTTGTTTGTGCAGCTTTGTATGCCCTCGGGTGCACTTCTGCTCCTCTAATAATTATTTATATTTTGGAAATAACTGTATGGCTACCAGGCATGATAAAAAGACAACATCACCTTGTGAATTCCATGAAACTTTAAATCTGATCTTTTCGGTAGCACTCAGATAATAGTTAAGCTAATATATTCAAATTAAATAGCTCACATTTGCTCAACAACCCATGTTTGTCCTGAGGGAGGCAAAACAACTATACCACAGCCACAATAATTTTACCAGACTCCTGTTCCAGCCCCGAGATGTCCTGACAGGAGAGTTAAGTGTCTTTTGATCTCCATAGCAGCAGCTTCTACTGCTCCTAAGTCTGGGCTTAAGACACTCGGGGATTTGTTCAGTGGTCACCATCCCACTTGAGAGCATGTCTGCTCTATCTGCAGGGGAAATGTGAGTTTGGGTGCTGGCTACCTCTAATTCAGCTCAGAAAATGCCTGGGCCAGACTGTCACTGTATTCCCAGCTGACTGGTGAATGCTCATTCATGCTAACTTGCTATTGTTGGGTTGGAGGCATCATCAGCATTTCTCTCTTTCTTCTCCCCATCAGGCAAAGAAGGGCTATCAGAAGACTATCCTGGAAATCAACACACCCAAAGTAGAGCAAGTACCTATAGTCGACATTATGTTCAATGACTTCGGAGAAGCATCACAGAAATTTGGATTCGAGGTGGGACCAGCTTGCTTCATGGGCTAAGAGCCACCTGAAAACTAGTCTCCAAATGAGCAACCTCGTAACCTCATTGCGTCATTTAATTAATTAAAGAAGAAAAAAAAAAATTCCTTGTCACATGCACGTTCTGAAACTGGACAGCGATGGGTTATTTTTTTTCCGTTTTGTTTTGTTCCTCATTCTGCCCGATTTCCTCTGTGCCACCACACCCAGACGTACCAAATCGCCAATTGAGAGGACCATTCCCATGACAGATGCAGAATCGCATGACCAACCGCCGCACGCGTGGCCTGGAGACCTGTCCCCATGCCGCCACCACTGCTGCCTCGACCGCTGCTGCTCCAAAGCCACCGACCAGACCCCATCACCATCAAAGATGACTTCTTCTTGCCATGCAGTGATACCAAGTGCTGGTCTATAGATTATTGCTTGTTTGTTTCTAAGGAAAAACGAAAAAAACTTGAAACTCCTGTGTTCAACTTGACTTTGAAGTCCCGTCAGTCCTGGCTCCAATCCAAACCCTGCTGAAGCTCATTGGAGGCATTTCATTGACTTCCATGAGATTTGGATCAGCTCTAGCAAGTAGATGTCATGGCCATTTCCAGAATTTTTAATATCTCCATTAAATCACGTAATTCTATATTTTACAATTTTAACCCCATGAATCTGATGGCTAAAAGTCACACTGGGCATCTCTTTCCCATGTATTAAAGGTGCTTATATTTTTGTATGTTTGTAAGTAAATATTTGTATTGTATATTATTTTAAATGTTTAAATGCTTCTGGCTTCAAAACATGCATGTGACCCTGTCTGTATTCAAACCACCACCCTTTCCACCACTATCCCAGCCAAGCATCCACCTGGGAATGAAAACGGTGGCTCATGTCCCCACCACTCATGCCTCTTCCCATCCCCAAACCTGGATCCAGAGAGGCTTGGAGTTACGCCCAGGCACGAGTCTGTGCAGGATGAGTGGCAAACCAGCACCCGAGCCACAGATGCCTTCAAAATAAGGAAATTAAAGCCACTTTTTAACAAGATTTCTACAAAACCCTGATCTAAAAGCAGGATCCGCTTTAAGTCTCGGCTTTTTTTATACACTTGCTTAATTCAACATATATGTTTTAAATTAATTCTTCTCTTTTTTCCCTTCACCATTCTCTTAAAATAATAATAATTAAAAAAAAATAATTCCCAGTGGCAGATTACAGTGGCAGGGGAAATCCATTTGTCCTCTCTGAATATAAAGTGTAAAAAAAAAAAAAACCAAGGGAAAAAAAAAAAAGGTGCTTTTTATTTTTACATCTCTGTGGTGCTATCTATTTGAATGACTTTAATACAACACTGGTGATACCCTGCCATTGGCCAGTCTCCCACCAGCCTTTGCTTTTTAGCCATTTTCAATGCAGACTGCAGGCTCTTGCTACACTTTGATTATAAAATGCATGCCACCTTCATATTTGTTATGTAGAAGATCTGCTCCTCTCCTTAATTGTATTGCAATAGCTTATACGGCCCATGTAGAACAAGTATTAGATGTGCTTACATCTTTTTTTCTTCTTTTTTTTTTTCCTCCAAGATTATTCATGCATTTTATACGGTGGTAACCATACCAGATTGTACTCAGTCGCTGAACGTTTGTGGTGCTAATTTATGTATTTGTTGGATGTCCTGACGTGATGCTGAAGCTGTGCTGCCAAGCACTCCCAGGAGTCTGCACTTTTCCTGATCTTCCCACGGTGGCTCTGCCAGGATGGCCTTTTTTTCTTTTTTTAATATTTTTATGCAGCTTTTTCAGCTCACAACCTGCTGACACCATCTTCTTATTCTGTTTGTTTGTTTTTTCCCTGGCTATTTTCCTTGGTTTTAGATCTTTCAGCTGGAAAATTGATGTTGGAGGGTGTTTTTATTAATATTATTATTATTATTATTATTTGGCCTGGAGTATTACAGTAATGCTTGAGCCAAGGAGATTCTTTCACCATAAAGGAAAAGACATCACATTTACTGTGAAGAAAAGCCTATATATGATGTCTTTTCCCCCCTCCTTCCCAAGCAGAGAGCAGCAGCTAAGGAAGGGAGGTGAAGCCATGCTGGAGGCAGCGGCGATGCCGTGCGGTGCTTTTTGGTCTGGGAGGACCATGTCCATCCGTCTCCCTTCTTCTGTTGTGTTCTTATTTTTTTTTTCCCCTGCTTGTTGGAAGGAAAAAAAAAAAGGTGCTAACCTAAAAACTGCAGACTCCAGCAGCAAAGCAGTGAAAAGGAATATATAATAATAATAATATATAGGAGAATTCAGCTTCTCAGTCACTTTGGCAAGAGCCTTGTTCAGGAACAGTGGGAAGGTCAGAAAAGGTTGCACGTTCCTCTCTCCAAAAGATAAGCCATATATTGATGTATATACACACGTGTGCGTCTGCCTAGGTCATGTGATTCTGTTACAAATTTTCATCAAGGGAGCTTTTTTATTTTATTTTTCCTTTTATTTCTTTGCTTTAGGATTTAAAAACAACAAAAAAAAAAATCTTCTGTTGAATTCCACAGTGTTGTAATTGTACTGAGCTCCAAACTGTTCCGATTTTCCCAGACCACTTAGCTACGGTATATTGCAATAAAATTACTACTTGTATTTGCAGACCTTCTTTTTGTGTAATTTTATTTCCCTCCTCCCTTAATATATATGACTTGAACAAATGTTGATAAGAAAAATAAAACTTATTGAAAAAAAATTTAGTACGTAAGGCCCTTTTTAAAATATAGTGTCAAATGACATATTGTACATTTCTTCAAAGTCCAATAAACATGTCATAAAATCTAAGTGTAATGCCCATAAGAGCTATTTTTAAATATTTTAAACCTGTGTAATAAAGGAATAAATGTAATAGATTTTTTTCAATAAATCAAGTTTACTGTTTCCACCTAAACCAACATGATGTGAATGTCTTCTTGAAGTTGATTGCAACGTGATTTCCCCACGACCTCTATGCTCAGTGGAGCCTGAAGAGTTCATCAGAGGAACGGTGCAAGCGCTTAAAGGTAATATATTCTGTAAAATAATAAACCAAACCCAGCGAGAGAGACCTTCCAGGCCTGGAATCTTTTTTTTTTTTTTTTTTTTTTTTAGTGAGAAATTCAGACTGCCAAAATCTAACCTGGAGATTTCAGTGCCTGGGACTTGGATGAGAAGATGAGGTGGCCACCAGCTCTTCGCTGTTTCCACCCCAGCAGCAACAGCACCTGAGGAGTCTTTCCATGACCACAGCCTTTGCTTTGGCTGATCTTCTCATCCCAAGGTGAATTCAGGAAAACAAACAAACAGAAAAACCCAACATGGGGAACATTTTGTTCATCCTCTCCTCCTTATCTACTGTGGATTTCACTCCAGGGACGTGCAAGAAGACAATGGCTCTTCTGGATACTGCTGTAAGAAATTGCGTGCATCCATCTGCCAACACCAGCCACTGCCGCTGGATTTGCACCACTCAGGTTCTCGGGGGCTTCTTGCAAAGAACATTTGGTTGGTGCTGCTGGTTTGCAGGTTCAAGAAGATGCTTGCACCTTAAAAACGTGTCCTTATTTGTGACACAGCAGGTACGTACAGCATAAACACACACGTGCCTGCACAAACCCTCCTCTGTATGCAAAGCTTTGCAGTGACCAAGCCAAGTTGTGTGTCCTATCAGCCTCTTCCCTTCATTCTTTGACTGAAATTAATGGTAGATCTCAGATTAAGAAAGATGTTCAGATAAGAAGCTAAAGTGCTTTAGTCCTTCTGAGTATAGAATTAGCTTAAAGGAGTAGCTTTGGGAAATCTTGGGGGGATTATTGACAAATCTTCATCCAAATGAACCCCAGAAATGCAGCATTACTACAGCTTGGGGAAAAAACTAGGGGGAAAATAGCTTTAATTGCCTGGCTAGAAAGATTTAACTTTGATCCTAATGACACTTCAAGGTGATGCTCACCTGGTCCATGCTGACCTGCCAGTTGTGATTTGCTCTTGATCATTGCAGGTTGCAACAAACACTTCTAACAAATGCCTCGGGGTCTTGCTGCCGAGAGAAGCTTTGATCTGCCATTAGGAAAAACCAGAGATCTGAGCGAGGATTTGAGTGTTTCTGGAGGTGCCAGGCACAGAAGCCATGACATATTTTTCACCTCTTTTCATATAACAGAAAGCTCATGATTTGGTGCTAGAGCTAAAATGCTGTTACTCTGCTCAGTGAAATCTGGAGGGTCATTTTTGACAGATGCACAACAGAAAACAGCAGCGGATTATTGAACCAGAGTGTGAGTACCCGAGACGGCTCAATTTTACACCCACACCAGCCCTGGGGGGAGCAGAGCAGCACCCACCCCTGGGACAACTTGGGAAGGGAGAGTTAACCCAGTGCAGCTGAGCCCAGTTGCACTTCCAAAAGCTTTAAGAGCAGCTGGGCCAGTCTGGGCAGGGGAAGCTGTAAGGCTGACAGTGTTTGCTTTGCTCTGTGGTGTTTTGTTTTGTTTTTCCTAACAGGCAAGGGCTTAACTAGGCTGGGATTTATGTGCTTCTGTGTTTTAAGAAAGAAGGTGAAGCCTGAAGAATTTTTCCTATCCAGTTACTTGAGCTGACCCAGCCATGAGGATGTGTACATTTGCTTCCAAGCTGTTTCCTAAGGTAAAATATGAGTTGCTATGTGACTTGATTTGTGCTAGTAAAATGGGAATTATTCCTTCTTGGTTTATCTTTTAGCTGTGTTCTGGAGGAAGGGGCCCAGGTCCTCATGCTAGCTGCGTGTCTGTTGGCTTCTTGTCTTTTATCTTGGAGTCCCTTGTTTGATTCAGCTGGTGGCAAAAGAAGCCCATTCCTACATGGCTTGGAAGGGTAGGCAGTGGGGCAGAGAAAAGAGCCTTCAGCATAAGCTCAGCCATGTATTAGCTACCTGAGACTCTACTGAGAGGTTATCCTATGGACAGGAGGCCACACGGAAGGCAGTCTCCTGCACCTATCGCTCACATGGGGTGAAACGCTGGTGCAGGTGCCTCCGGGAGTAGTCAGAGCGTGGGCGCAGGCTGGGATGGAGCCAGGGACTTG